ACTTGAGTTGCAACCAGAGTCACGGAATGGATTAAGTTCGTAACTAGAGGTACCACTGTATATGCACATAACTGATGAGTATGAGAGTCTGTTGTTAAGAAACAAGACAAACAGTTTCCCTTGTGGATTGCCTAGGTTTCCCTGTGTCCTAAATTTCATGCAGTTAGGTTCAAGGAAATATGGTTGAAGTGATAATCCATAGGAGTTGGTTTATATATGAAAACATTTCCGTGTTGCAACAAGGTTTGCTTTTCTTTTCTTGTAGCTCTATGAAGTTTTCCCACGTATCATGAAACTTCTGCCAGGCCCTCACCAGACTGCCCTGTCTGCATTTGAGATGCTTTTTTCATTTGCAAGGAAGCAGATTAAACAGCATAAGGAGAACCAGAACCTGCATGAACCACAGGATCTCATTGATTTCTATCTGTTTCAAATAGAAAAAGTAAGCTTTTACATTATATGGGAATACTGATTGATGGAGAAATAATTGCATCCTTCCTATGTATGACTAAGGATGTCATATGTAGATCCACCTACAGTTTATGCTCCCACATTTCCCATTGCCTTTTTTACACTTCTGGAAAACCTTTTACAAAGTTCCTTATCCAAGGCTCTGGATTAATGTTAGCAGTCATGGAACAGGAGGACCTGTCCTTTCTGGATTGCTAGCTGGTTAAATAACAGGAAGTAAGTGAAAGGAGTAAGAGCTAATACTATGCATGTTTGACATCCAAAAGGAAAATGGAGTATCATCATTCATGGACTTTCATAGATTTAAGAAAAGTCAGTTTTAACCATTTTAAAGAAGTAATAGAATTCCATAGATGGAAATCTTTAGGTCAAAGGGAACTTAAAGTTTTTCATTGAGCTAAGAGGTGAAAGAGGCATGTATAGGAAATGGAAGGTAGGTATAATCACCAAGGAGGTGTATCGGCACGTAGTTACTATCTGCAGAAAATTAAAAAGGCTAAAGCATTAGAAGAATTTATGCTTGCAAGCAGGGCTGGGTTCAGACATGGTGAAGCCCTACCCTATGGGAAGTTGGGGAGGCTTTATTTGGCAAGTGATAACCGGAAATAATTTGAACTGTGGTGCTGGAGAAGACTCTTGAGAGTTCCCTGGACTGCTAGGAGGTCAAACCAGTCAATCTTAAAGGAAATC